TTTCACACACATTCACTCAGCCATCAGCCATCTAACCCTAACCCTAACCCATACATACATATTCACACACCGATGCACAGCGTATCTTACTCAAGTATCTTGCTTATACTTCAACATGTGGCGGCAGGAGCCGGGGATCGATTAGGGGACAACCCGCTCTGCCTCTGAGCCTCAGCCGTCGTTGTAATCTATCTGCTACCATTTGACTCTTCCACTCGTAGTGCTGGATGTTACCGGGACTGTGATAATCCCACTGTTCTCACTGCATTGCATAACTACTAACTAACTTGCATAACTTTTACTAAAATTAAATTTTAAATGATACATGTTTAACCAGCTTCCAGTTGTGGTTCTGGAGGCAGACACCCTCTCCACATTTAAGAGTAGGCTTAAGACGTTCCTCTTTGATAAAGCTTATAGTTAAGGCTGGATCAGGTGAGTCCTGCGGTCAGTCCCTGCGAACCCACTTTATTACCATGCTGCTATAGGCCTGACTATCGGCGGACCTTCTCCCCATGGGATGCACCTGCGCGGTGAGCTCCTCTCTCCTCCTCCTCTCTCTTTTCTGCACTCATTCATGTCCATTATCACGGGTCGTAACTAATCTTCACTTTCTCTCCTCGGAGTCTCTTGTGTCATTTCTGAATGATCGATCGATCGGACATTTGGCACTATACCAATAAAATTGGGGAAGCTGCTGAACTTCCGAAATCTGAAATCAATATGTACCCTGATTCGTCGGCGCTTCATCTTTACCAAACCAAATCCATTTGACACCACTGGCAGTAATTAAAAGGTGAACCACTTATCATAACCAGCAGTACCAATCGCACAAACCAGCCAACCTTAACGCCATTCGGGCAAGACATTCAGAAAACCCCAACAGTGCTGCTAGAAAGCAGTGTCCTCTTACAAAAGGAAGTAATCTGATTCCAACTCCTGCGGAACACTGCGGATTGTTTAACATCTCTCTCATCAACTAGATGTACACAAAATACCCGCTGTCGGCCAAGGCGCCCACTTTTAGAGCAGCATTCGGTCCCCAACAAAACCTTCGAATACTATTTAAGACTTACATACCAGTCCACTAGGATCCAGACATGAAGACACCTATAACACTTTTCTTATACTGAGGTTTGTTCTTTTTCATTTTCACTGCTCCGATCCGAAGCGAATCAACTGCCTTCTATTTGCATGCGCTCCGTGCCCAATACAGTAACAGCATTACGCGGCTCCGTTGACTGAAGGCCATGGGGTATTGAGCCGGCGCCAGCCGACCGAACCGCTGCTGTGAACTGGCTTCTGGCAACGTCATACGGACGCAGGACCAGGCCACAGCGCTCTCATCAGGACACCACTGTAGTCAGAGTCCATGGTAGACCCACAGTGCTCTTACAGACCCTTGGTCGGCCACTCGACCAACACACTGAATTCAATCCCCACGCCGCGTACCCGAACCTGTATCGTGAATTCATTATTTCAGGACTCCTCCATCTCTGATCCATAAACAGTCCTATCGCAGCTTGGGCAAGATTAAATCTAAAAAGTGTGACAACCTACTGCGCACGAATAGTCCTTTATAATTCTTCTCATTTGACTACATAAAGGGTTCTCTTTTTTCTTTTCTTTTTTTTTTCTTTCTGGGGGGGGGCGGGGGGGGGGGAAAAAACCACAACAAACAAAAAAACAAACTGCTTACAATTATTGCAATATTTTTCGGCGGACCCCTGGCGATCCTCCTCCTTCGGTTGGACCCGTGAGCAACCACCTGATGCTACCGGTGACCCTTCTTTATAACACTTCTATCTTCTGAAGCCTTTGCTCATCGGAGGGATTCAGGAGCGCATCAGAAATTCATTTTACGGTCTACACTTCTAATCGTTGACCTAATTGCATGCTGCATGGTCAACCTTAAACCCAACGCGGTCATCCTCCTTTTAAGAGTGAACCATCGTGTATGTCGGACGTATCTTTGTGTTACTGTGGCTACCTTGGATCAAATCATCTTACGAAACACACTTAGTAGTTGTGCACTATCCAGATAAACTTGCGGAATAATTAACCTGCTTTCCTTCTTGTTTCACTCTATGGAGTCGAGTGTGCCAAGAAAAGATGATAACTGCTACTTATATTAGGTGCCTTCCTAGTCTTTCGACCACCACGCGCGCCTGCACTTCTGCAAACTGCCATCTAGAGCCACTAGGAGAGCAGAGGAAACCTGATCTGTCTTTCACAGATCCTATCCGTCTTGGGTCACTACTGTCCAGGATAAGTGAAAGTTCAGCGCAAATTGGACTCAACAATTCTACTTTTCCTAAAACGTCTACCTCCACACTGCACGCTCTGTCAATCAACACCTGAATTCAGAGTTAATCAATAAGGACACCAGAATGATTTACCTTTCCTTATACTTCTCTACCTTTAAATGGATAAGTTTAAGAACCGAATCACTTTGAAAATCATACAAAACAAGGCGTTTTAAACAAATTTTCGTCACTCAACTTTCTTCATGTCTCAATCAATATCTGGCTTTCCATGCTTCAATATTTATGTGTCATTTCCCGCCTGGCTTCCGCCTTTAAATTTACCAATATGTCTCACTGTATATTAAGAATCTGAAGATGTCACAGTGTGTTGGCGCGGTGACGTAAATTCTAAGTTAAAGATGTATGCAGATGATTATCCATCTTACCTGTAATTGTAGTTCGGACACCCCAGACTCCATACATTTCCCATCAAGAACACTGCTTTTGCGGCAACGAAAATGAGACTCATGTCAATTACATTGACGCAGATACAACAGCCCTTATCACTCTGCTATCCAATATGCTTGCGCTACGATGTAA